TGGTATCTCCCACTTTAGATCAAGGCACTCTAACCTAGCAACATTGGTAAGAGGGTGGGAGGTGGCTTGTTAAACCACAGACTGCTGGCCACCTGGGATGAGTGCCTGCTATGGTAGGGACCAAGCAGATGCATGTCCAACAAGTTCCAGCAGGTGATGCCGTCACTGAGACCCCAAGCTGAGGCTCTATCCATTCATTTCAGACATGACCTCCCTCCCTCTCCCAGAATGGAGGGAAACACCTTTGCGTGGGTCTCAGAGCTGGGTTTGGAGTCCAGCTTTGTATTCACTGTGGGTGACCCTAGATGAGCACTTCCTCTCCTGAGGCCTCCTTTGGCCACACTGCCCAGTAATTAGGGCCGGGGACATTGAGCACACACGTTGTAAACTGCCTTTACTAAATGCCATTGGCTCCTGCACCCGCTGCGGCTGGGATGGCAGCATGGGAGGTCACCTCCTGCAGGTAAGACCTAAAAACAGTGCTGGGCCAGGATGGGTGGGTGGGGTGCGTCTCACTGGACGCTGGGAGACAGGACCAAACAGACTTGGAGTGGGAGAGATCGGTACTTTTAAGCAAGATAGAAGCTGCAGTTCCCGTTTACACCAGCCGGTGGCAGTGCTTTCCTGCAGGTGCCGCGCATTAATTACTGTGGGGAGAAACCTGCAGATGAAGGGGCCTTCCTGATAAAAGCCCCTCAGGGGTCAGACGTGGGGAGGAGGCATGGTTAGGAATCTGGAGCGCCAAGCCATGACCCATCGGCCTTTGCTCCGTGGCCTCATACACACCATGGCTTCTCCAGCCCCATCTCCTTTGTCTACAGGGGGTAGGGGTGCTCCACCATTCTCAGATGAAAACCAAATTCAGAGCCATTGAGCCAATTCCATCTCATAGCGACCCTACAGGACAGGGTAGAACTGCCCCCATGGGTTTCTGAGACTATCACTCTTTATGAGAGTAGAGAGCCTCCTCTTTCTCCCGATGAGGAGGAGCTGGTGGTTTCGAACTGCTGACCGTATAGTTAGCAGCTCAACTCCCAACCACTGGCCTCCTCCCAAATACGATTTACCACAATACTGTTGTGAAGCCTCAGAAAATAAGTCAGCAACTCTGAAAACGCAGCAGCAATGAACACGACAGTGTGTAGTTGCCCCCTGGTCCACATGAAGCCACTTGCCTGGAGGTGTTATTGTGATGGGGCAACAATGATACCCCTGGCCAGAGCATATTAACCACCCAACCACTGATCAGCTCAGTGTGTAAGCACTACCCACCTGGGTCAGAGGCTCTCTGGGCTCATGACCAGCAGGTCCCCGTCCCCCCAGGAGGCCTCCTGTTCTGCTCTGGGATTCCCAGAGCCCCTGGGTGCCTCCTCTCCAAATAACTGCTAATGCAGGACCCTGGGTCAGAAGTGAAAAGTCAGTAGGAGGGGACCCCTTGGTCCTGCCTGGAGCACCCTCCTTCACCAAAGTAGATTTAAAAACAAACAAAACATTTTTGGTTCCCTATTTGCATGTGAATATATTCTTTTAGACATTTAAATACCAAATAATTAAACCATTAACAAAATATGAACAGCGATGCAAGCTGCAGCCCGCTTTGAGTTTCAGTCTCACGTGTGCCCTGTCCCTACCCCATGCCCAGGGCAACCCCCTTCACAGATTTGGCATGCACCCATGAGACCTTTCTCTAATCTCGTGATGGGGGGAAAGAGGAGAGAATGTTTGCCTTTTTCACTTGAGTTTGTAGATGGATTTTCTCCCTGAGCAGGAACCTCTTGGCCACCAACCTCATTAGTGCCCTCCGGTCTTGGTTCATGTGTCAGCTCCTCAGAGGGGCCTTTTGGGGCCACAGTGTCTGCCACCTCTGTCCCCCATCCCCATGACCTTGTCTTTTCTTTGTGCTCTCTCTCACACTCTGAAACCACCTTCCGTGCTGCCTGGCGGCCCTCTTGTCTGCCCAATGGTTCTGTCCTTCAGGCCTCGGCTGCTCTGCCTTGTTTACTGCAGTAAGCCCAGGGCCCAGAACGGGGCCTGACAGGCGCTCAATCACCTCAATCACGACGTGCTGAATGAGAAGGTTCCCCCATCAGCCTCTCCCATTCCTTTTTCATTGTTGCCCTGACGTTCGGCAGTGTGAGGGTAAGCATTTAATCATCGCTCTCTGTTAAGGGACATTTGGAGGCTGATGGCTATTCGCTCCTGTGTGTGGCTGCCCTTGGCAGCCTAAAGAGGCAAACGCAAGACGCTCACATGTGTATGTATCTAGAACGATTTAGAGCAAGATAATGGTTCACACGGTTGTAGAAGTGGGTACATCCAGTCCTTGTCACGCCCATGGGAAGTTTCCCCCTCAGCTGGAGGCTTCGGATTCGCGTAGTTGGAGGGGCGGATGAATCAGCGGACCACAGGCTGATGGAGGCCAAGCTGAATGAATCCGAGGCCAATAGCCTGCTGATAGTTCTGAGGATCAACATGCCACGGATCAGGAGCTCAATGAACCAGAGGAGGGATCTGGATTCAACAGCAGAATCCAGCTAGCTTCCGCACACTGGCAGTCTATACTGAGACTAGAACACAGAATGAACCCTCCCTCAATCGGGTTGAGGCTGGGAGGAGATGAAGGAGGGGGTGCACTAGCCTGCTTCACAGAAGATCCCATCATGGAGTTAGCGCATATGAGAAGCCTGGTCCACTCAAGTTAACATAAAGTCCAACTGTCACACTCTCTGTGCAGTCAGCTGTCGCCATGGAGTGTGACTGCCTGGCCATTGCTATGATACTGGCAAACAGCTCTCCAAAGTGGTGCTACCCCGTGCCCCACTCTAGCCCAGTGTGGAAGGCGACTCTCTTTCCTTATTGTTTGTTTGCTTGTTTAGGGGGTGTGGGAAATATTCAGGCCTTGCCCACAAAGATTTTCCCCTCAGAGGACCTCATATCCAATGTTTAGGAGCCTGATGATCTCATTTGTGGAATGGAAAGCTATGACATAGATGGAGAGGATGAATGAGTGAGTGAGTGAATGAATGAATGAATGGGTTCTAATTTTGTGGGAGAGTAGAGAAAAATATTCAGACTGACCACAGTGGGGGCAGGGGGAATAATAAAACAATTACATCTATCTAGCTAGGTTCAGTCTTGCCCAACGCTAGGCCAGAGGCTTCAAGGGTGGGCTTGAGGAATGAATCTCTGGAGTTACCGTCTGGGCAAAGGATGGGCCCAGCCTGTATCCAGGGCTGATGTGGGGAGCCCAGGAGAGGTCCTGACTCTGCTGGAAGAGACTGAAAGGCATCCACCTTGACACGTGCACATGGGAGAAGCCATTCAAGACCTCTCTCTCTCTCTCTCTCTCTCTCTCTCTCTCTCTCTCCCTTCCACCCCCCTCCCGCCTTCCTCCCCTCAACTCTGAGCTCCCTGCCAAAGGTCATCAAGGGCCCCCCCACTGGATAAACCTGGCAACTCCCACTCCTTGTGCCCAGGGAGGGAGTTCAGTGCTGACTGCAGTCCCGCCACGGTGTGTTAGTCCAGGTAAACTGGAGGATCAAATCCAGGGAGATGCATATGTGTGTAAGAAAGAACTTTATATCGAAGAGCAATTGTACATGAAGAAAACATCCGCTATTATCCCATATGTCCAATATAATCTATAAATTCCTCTTCAGACTCACGCAATCCATGCAATGACACGGAATGCGGGAAGATCACAGGCCAGTGGGTGGAAAGTCTTACGGATCCTGTGGCAGTGGAAGCATCTCAGCGCTGGCAGGGGTCTCCATGTGGCTCCTTCAGCTCCAGTGTTCTAGTGTAGCTCCATGTGTCTGGTCCACAGGAAAACAAAGCAGAGAGTGTCAGTGTATCTGGACGCTAGTGAGCTAGTTATCTCCGTGGCTCCTCCAAATGAGGTCATCAAGCTGCGACAGGCTAGACTCCACCCCTTTGCAAGTTGACAGGAGATTATGTAACTGCCAAACAGGGGCACTCTAGACTGTCTCTTCCTCAGAACATGGTGTCAGGCAAGATGCCAGGGCTCCAATTCCTCCACTGAACCAGCTGCCCAGTCCTCTGGCTGATGCGTGGATTCTATTTGGTACAGGATGCTAAGTGCTTAGCTGAAATTCGTACAAGAGGAGAGTTACCATCATGACCAATCTCCTCGAATGAGAGAGAAGCCTAAATGCTTGGGTATTGGCTGCAGATGGGTGGACAGATGAGACGTCTGCTTGGCCTTGCCAGAGGAGTGGCAGGGCTCTGGTGAACGAATGTGGGTTGGAGAGAATGGGTAGATGCAGATGGACTCCAGGAATCGGACTGAGCACCCAGGTGGGCCTGGGGGGCGGGGGCCTTGAAGGTGGAGAAAAGACCCCGGGGGAAGAAAGTAAGTTCTCCTTCAGGTGTATCTATAATGCTGGCCTTCCATGCTTACACACCTCCAGTGACAGGGCACTCACTCCCCACTTCAGCCACTCACTCACTGCAGGCCCCAGGCAAATGTAGTTTGCTGTGGCTGCTATAACCAATTGCTACAACTTGGCGCCTCACAACAGAATTTATTCTCTCTTCCGTTCTCTGACATCAGTGTCACTAAGCTGAAATCAAGGTGTTGGTGTGACCTGGCACCTCTGGAGGCTAGAGGGAAGAGCCCATTCTCCTTCCGGTGCCTGCCAGCCTCTCTTGACTTGCGGCCCCATCATTCCAGCCTCTGCTGCTCATTGCTACCACCTCTTCTGTGTGTGTCAAATCGCCTGTCCCTTCTGAAGATCTAGATGTGACTGCATGGAGAACCCACCAGTCTCAAGATACCGTAACCGACTCACATCTACAGTCTGTTTCTGTCCTTGCTGCTTGCTTGCTTGTTTGGAGCTTTGTCTTTGGCCCAGGAAGTAGCAATCCCGGTTGATGGGATTTGGACACTGAGTACATCAGCCTTTGTCAGCCTTATACAGCCTGCACACCCGGACTACTGCTCCCTCTTCTGGGGGCAGACTCCCGACTCTTCTAATCACCTGCCCCCAGTCCTTTCCTTCCTCACGTGACCGCCAGTGCTGCGCCCTCGTTTCTCATTCCCCAGGGGCCTTCCCCGTCTCCAGCAGGAGGCTCTGTGGGCTCCAGAATCCTGTGTGGTTCCATGCGGGGTCTTTAGTATATTGTGAGTCTGCAAAAATACTTGAGGAACCACTTTCTGAACAAAAGCTCCGCAAGCTAGCCCATCGTAAAGGTGTGAAAGCGAGCGGGGTGCTGTGGGCCACTCTTGATCTCTAGATGTGCTTCCTCCCGGGGGTCTGGCCAGATGAGAAAGTGAGCACCCAGGGCGGGTCCCAGACACACGTGGTGGGTGGTTATGTCATTGATTCTGCGGCCCACTCACTCCACCCTCTACCCCTCATGAGCTGGCAGCCATTTTTCTCCCCACTTTCCCCATGGGAAAGTTGAGTTCAAAGGGCAGGGCTCGTCCATCCCACAAGGAAGATGCATCTGTGGGGGTGTTTTCTTGGCTGCTCTTCTCTGGGGAGGGACCTGTGATTGTTGGAGACAGGGGTCAAACTACTCAATAAGCAAAGTAAGCACGGCGTGCTTGTGCTTGCTTACTAATTAATGTGCAGTGAACAGTTTCACATGTCTTTCACCATTAGTAAGCAAAAGGAGGCCCGGTGACAGGGTACTTTCGCATTGGGCTGCTGACTGCATGGTTGGCAGTTCGAAACCACCCAACCACCTCCTTCGGAGAAAGATGGGGTTTTCTATACCCTTAATGATATACAGAAACCCACGGGAGCAGCTCTGCCCTGTCCTATACAGTGAACCCTCGTTTATCGCGGTTAATCGGTTCTAGACCCTACCGTGATAAATGAAATTCCGCGAAGTAGGATT